AGCAGCCACAGAAAAGGCTCTACTCTGGGTAGTTGCCAGTCGACAGTGGCCGGCTGATTGAATTCGGAGGAGGCCTAATCTATGGGATCTTATTGGTCTAGTGGAGGTAATTTAAGGTGCTGTTAAATTTATATATGGCCCCATTCAACAAACAAACTCAGATCTCTAGAACTGGGTGTGTACAGTATCCCAGTCTTCCATGTTGTGTGCTGATGGCATTTAGCACAATTCACTTTTCAGCACCAAGGAAGCCAATTTCTTTGCAGAGATCTTCATGCAGCGAAACGCAACATCTAACCATAAGCTTTTGATCAACACTCCTTCCAGGCAGAATGAACACTGCAGCCTCAGGTGCTTTCTTACATATCTTTCCATTATGCTTCCACAACAGAGTCACCAATTAATGTTAATTTTTCACAATCGTTTTGTTATTTAGATGCTTACATGCCAGCTGCTGGGCAATGGATAGGCCGGTCAGCTTCACAATAGTCTTAGAAGGCCTGTATCAGGGTTCCGACCGATGCCCTAATTAACAGCCTGTCAGTAGATCTCCCTTTTCATAGCTAGAGACCAAGCATCTTACCAAACCTAGCTCAGCTAGTTCGTAAAACAGCTCTGATCTGAAGAGCAAAATAACTTCAAAGTACCAGTAGGAAAAGGTATCTAAAACCCAATATAAGCACACATTTAATAAATATGGATATGGCCACATTGGAGCTGAAAAACCTTATAGCTGTTTTGCAATATCCTATAGACCGAATCCCAAATTCCTATTAATTCATGATGCATGCATCTGTTTGGGGATGGGTGGTGGTGTGTGTGTGTGTGTGTTGGCACTAATTTTCTCTTGCCTTTCCTGTCTACTTGCCCAAATCAATTATCTGCTTATAACAGTCACCACCTACAATTTAAATGTAGCCCTTAACTTTTACCTTTGAAGTAGTCTCAAGAAAGCCTGTTTAACTTTCTTGCATCGTTTATAAACACAAACAACATAGGTCTTGATTTCGGGAAACAAAGGTTTTAGAAAAATAAAGTTCAGGTTTCCACACTACACAGCTGATTTAAAACTGAAACTCCTTCAGTTTAGAATCAGAAGGAAGTGTCAAGTACCTTGACTTCACGAAGGTTCATGCATTCCTCCCAGGAATAAAATTTCCTCTTCATCCTGCAAAAGGAATAAGAAATCTATTATTGGGCACAATCTGTATTCCAGTTCCATTGTGACATAAGACTGGAGAAATAAATTCAAGGCCACAACAAATGAAGATCTACAAACTCATTCTCTACCTCTATGCTTTTGGGGGAGGGGGGCTGTTTCTCAAACATTTCTTTTCATTTTCGAACATGAAAAGAATTTCCAAAAGCAGATTTTCGTGTACTATGAAAATCTAATAATGTAAGAGGGGAAACAGTCAAAAGCTGTTTTGTATTCCTGAGTGGTTGAAAACCAGCCTCAAGGTTAGCACAATTGAAAATCTGAGTTTTTATTTGGTGGTTTCAAAATAAATGGAAGTACTGATTTTTCCCAACTAAGGGATCAATTTTGACCTGACAAGTTGAAGCTATATCCTTGTGTTAGAAAAAGTTTGAACCACAGCCTTCAAAAACATGAACATGTGACATCGTGTGATGCTGAAACGTGATACGTCGGGTTAAAAAGGACAGCAATTCAGAAAGGTCCCTTACCTCTTAATGGCAATCAGCTCTCCTGATTCAATGCTTCTTCCTAGGAGGACAGAGCCATATGTCCCATCTCCCAGCTGTTTGATAGTTGTGTATCGATTCA